AGAAATATATCTTTCACACCACCATTTTATTGTGTGAGTTCTATGTCAAAGAATGGCATGATGAGACCTTGTTGCTTGGAGAATTTTATTGCGTGTTGATTATTATGGCCGGTTGTTTTATGGAGGAGATGGAGGAGTTCCTATAATTTTATCTGCTTTCTTCCGTCTTGATTCATTCTTCTAGCGTGGCCATATCTGGGCAAAAAAAAAAATTCATAATTTTTAGTTTGACAGCTATTATATATCTAAGACAAAATGCTCTGACAAAGATGTCAGTATATGTATCAAATTCAAACTGCTAAGCAATTTTTAGTAGAGTTGTTGATTATATGCTTATTTGGTTAAGGTTTTGGCTAAAGCAAATGGGAATGTTTAGTGTCCCTATGCACTTTTTCTCAAATCAATATTATAGCTTCCACTCAAACTCCATTTGAGAGCTTCCAAAATCTAAAACCTAATAGACTTCGTCTTCTTGAGTAGGTTTAATTTATTGTATATCATACTAATGAATGTGTTATTAATCATACACCTGTCCTTTTTTAGCCCTTGTTTCTTTCTTTATTTTAGGTCACAGACACCTCATCACAGCAACAATGGATGGGCTCATCTTTTCAGTTGAATGTTCCTTTAGTTGATATTGACAAGGTATATTTATGTTCCATCATTCATTCTTTCTTGTTGTCTTTTGTTTCAATGCTGACATTCGAAGGATTTTGATTTTAATGGGCTAAGGTTTACATGGATAAATCAATGGTACAGAATAGTGAGTCTGTGACTGGATAGCTCTTGTTAAAGAAATAGAACAGAGAATGAGAAGAACATGAATATAGATTTGACACCTAAGGTTTGAAATTGAATGTTTGAGTGGGAGAGTAGCTAGCTGCAGACATGCTTTAATTCATGACTGAGAGGGCTGAGGGGTGAATCATTCGTTCAGAAATATTGTTAGAGTTGGTTAGGGGAGTTTTCTTTCTGCTTAGGAGCATTGGTTAGGACTTAGGAGCATTGGTTACGAGAGTTTTCTTTCTGCTTAGGAGCATTGGTTAGGACTTAGGAGTCTCTGATTCTGGTTTATCTTTCATTTTGCTGCTGTTAGAGCTTTTGCTCAGTTTCCATTCAGTAAACACATTATTTCATAGCTCTAAATTAGTGGGTTCTATCATAAACAGGAATAGCATCCGAGTCCTATGAGGGGGGAACTCTTCCACTTGTCAACTAAACCCGTAAGGGAAACTTGGATAAAAGTAGAGTGTGACTATAGCCAATTTGCCCTGTCAGTGCTTCTTTGTGTTTGCACTTTTTTGTTAGTATAAGGATTCTAGTGATGTGACGGTTCTCATATGGTTTTTACATGCAACTTATCACTACTTTGTCTCAGGTGCGATGTATTATAAGGAACGTAGTTAGGGACTGGGCTGTAGAGGTACTGTTTTTGTTGCTACTTTGTTTAAAATATTCTAATTATGGTGATAATTCAAAACATGATTTGATACCTTTCCCCCACTGTTGTATTTAAATAGGGTCAAAAGGAACGTGATCAGTGCTACAAGCCTATTCTTGAAGAGCTTAACAGTTTATTTCCTAATCGCTCTAAAGAGAGGTAGGCTGTAATGTTCTTAATAGTGATGGAAAACACTTATTTGGGCGGAAGATTGTTTGTACAATTTGTTTTTTTTTTTGTTGCTAAAATCATATACTTTCTCAAACAGTCCACCTGCTTGTTTAGTTCCTGGTGCTGGACTCGGTCGGCTGGCTTTGGACATTTCATGTTTAGGTGTGTATCGATTACCAACCTTACAAAGGAGTTACAACTAGACGTGCTTTTGGAAAAATACTTGCATGGAAACGAATATAACATGTGGTTTTACAAACAACCAATCACAATTTTTTATTAATTAAAAAACAAAAATAAATATTTCTCTCTCATACACTATCACAACCACCCCATGAATCCAATTAAAAAAGAAATTAAATTTTAAATAAATTTAAAATTTACTCTCTTCTTATTGGATGTTTCTAAGAATATAGATATAGGTTTGTTTTCATGCAAGTATTTCTCTTCTATGCCTAGCTAATGCATCTTATTATGGTGCAGGATTTATCTGTCAGGGGAATGAATTTTCATACTACATGATGATATGCTCAAGTTTTATTCTTAACCAGTAAGAACAAGGGTTCTTTATTCCTAATTGATATTTTAATGTTACAAATAACCTATTAACAAGTCACAGCCAAGACCGCTCTTTTGATTTTTACATATTTTTTCTCTTTTTTTGTCAATCAATTGGCTTTTTTGGGTAACTTAAGCTGTGAGACTGCTGGTGAGTGGACAATATATCCTTGGATCCACAGCAATTGCAATTCACTTTCAGATAGTGACCAACTTCGTCCTGTTTCAATACCAGATATTCATCCTGCCAGGTACGTACATGGATTCTCTTAATAAAAACAATTAATTAGAAGGAAAGAATGAATAAAAAGAAAGGAACCATTTAATGTGTTAAACAGTCTACCGTATATATTCCGTGAAAGAAATAGGAATAGGGATTTCTTGTAAAAGAAACAACTCTTCTTCAATGTTTGAATTATAGAGAGCCTTCCTCTTAAAAGCAAACTCTAAAAAGAAGAAAATCAGAATCATGCTAGACCTGGTTGAATGATTTTTTTTCTTCATCCTCTAATGGGGTTTCCCTTTTATTGAGTCATCTTTTGCTGTCTGAAGTGTCATGATGATGAACTACTTTGTTGGTGCACATCCTAGGGAGAGGTTGGTGACAGTTTTCCAAATTAGTGATCCGTGCCAAATGGAGTGTTTTTTTGGAAATAAAGTGTATAGTAGCAATTGCTAGATTGATATCCAATCTATTCAAATGCCAACTGGAATCACCCTCAAAATTTGCTGTCAGTAGTAGAAGCTCATGGAAGGAAAGGGCGCAATGATCTACTGGCTAAAGCCATGTTTGCTAATGGAAGGAAACGGCACAATGATCTACTGGCTAAAGCCATGTTTCAGATATTTAATTTTCAGATGTTCCATGTTTGCTCAATAAGGATTGACAACAAAGGCAGCGCACGTTATATATCTCCTTTCTCTTCTCCTATTGGTTCATATATCTCCTTTCTCTTCTCCTATTGGTTCATAAGCAGGATAGTTTTTTTAGTTATATAAGAAATTCTTTAAAACAAAGGAGATGATGATTAGGAGAGGTAGGATAATTGCGACAAGTTTGAACATTTTCCCACTCAATGATATTTTTCATTCTTCATATTTATATTTCTGCCAATTGATTTGCTTAAATAAACTAAATTGAGTTTTGCTTCTGTCCAGCTAGCCTCCTAGTTTAAATTCAAAAAAATTTCAGTGAGGCACTGGAAACGAGCCAAATGAATAGGCCATATGATGCACAAAAGCTGCTCTTGGTCACAGTATTTAATTTTAATACCTTGCTCCTAACTATTAGGCTAAAAAACAAGACCTATTCATATAATATGTTCCCATGATCAAATATAGAAAAAGCTGACATGTATAGCTTGTATAAATACTAAATCATCAATAGTTTGTTTGATATAATATATATCTTTATTGTAATTTTGATTTGTTGCAATGTGTGAGAGCAGTGCAGGAATTACTGAAGGTTTTTCCATGTGTGGAGGTGACTTCGTTGAAGTCTACAGTGATTCGAGCCAAATAGGTAGGAGAAATCATCTACAACTATATTTCTTTCTTATCTGGTATATTATATCAATGGCTCTAAATATAGAACCGAAAGTATTAGTCTTTTGGTTCTCTTCCTTACGTGTAAGCTTTGTTCTTTTTTTATTTTGATCCATCACGCAAATTAGGCAAATTAAGAGCATCACAGGATTTAAATTAAATACTCTTGCACTTCTACCATGATTACAAAACAAGATGCTATAAATGCTTGAGCTTAGAGGAGATGTGAGGCGATTAGTTCTAATATATTTTCAAATTTTAATCAATAGTAGTAATATATATAAACAGAGGGTGTATGGGACATGGATCACCCTTTTCCTATATTGATATAAATATTAGTGAAAAGTTATTTGCATAAATAGAACTTAGACATAATAATTTGTATTCTAGATAAACCTGTATCTAATTATCAATAATATATCACCATATCCCTATAGTAATTTCTGACAAGGCTTTTTAACAATGATCATGCAGGTGCATGGGATGCAGTTGTAACTTGTTTCTTTATTGATACTGCTCACAATATTGTCGAGTACATTGAAATTATTTCACAAATTTTGAAAGATGGAGGAGTAAGTTCTTTAATCGAAATTCAAATAGATCTTGTTTATCTCTTTTTTCCTTCTCGCCCGTCTGTGCTCTTGTCCTTCATACTGAATGAAATTGACACTATCACAGGTTTGGATAAATTTGGGCCCTCTTCTTTATCACTTTGCAGATACATATGGACAAGATGATGTAAGATTCTTTTCCCATACAATAGCAATAGTGCGATCCTGTGCGTGGTCTCTTTATTATCTAAGTTGTAATTTGTTTGTAGGAAATGTCAATTGAATTAAGTTTAGAAGATGTTAAAAGGATTGCATTGCATTATGGATTTGAGATTGAGGTAATCTCATTTGATTTGGATAATGCCCCTTCTATTTATGACAGTGACTAATCATATTCGCATTATCTTGTCATGTATTGCAGAAAGAAAGGACCATTGAGACAACCTACACAACCAATCCTAAATCAATGATGCAAGTGAGTCTTCACTTGGATCAATGATGCAAGAAAGATAGAAAGTTTTCACTTAGATCAAAATTGTTTGGAAATCATAGCAAATCATTAACAATGAACAGTTTCTATTTATATATGCTAAAAGAATTGTGATCCTCTTTGCAGAATCGTTACTTCGCCGCATTTTGGACAATGAGAAAAAAATCGACAGCAACTCGGCAGCAAGTGCCCTGAGATGAGGGGACATGATTATTGTGATATAAGTTAATAAATTAATTTTCTTTTACTCTCCAGACTTGTACCTTTTCTCGACGAAATGTATAACATTCCTGCATTCGTGAAATCTTGACAATTTGTCTTTATTGGAAAGTTTAATTTGTGACATTTGGTTAAAGAAATGTATATCATGAATATTTGTTTTTGACAGTGATATGCATGCCAAACAGTATGCATCGTTAGATACTATAGAAAAACAAAAAGTTTTGTGTGGGTTGAATAATCCATTTGCTTGCAAGTGACACACAAGCAGTGATTTCATGAGCATGCAACTTGTAATTGCTATTTTTACAACTATGTTTGGGTAGGTTCATGGAAAAGTCAGTTGCATAGTAAATAATCAAGTTTAGACTCGAAAGTTACTAATCTTAGTTTCAAATAAATCAATTATTTTATTTTAGAATACCAAACATGGCAAACTCAATTATATATCTCCAGAATCATTTTTGTCTATTCCTAAATAGATCCAAACATACACTAAATAGTTTTTTGAGTCCTGAGGGCAAATTTTGTTGAAGAGTTAGAATGTCAAAATAAGATATATTACACAGTACTAGTAAAATAATGTCTTGTCTGGACCTATTCCCTCCGTTCATTAGATAATTAATACATCTGGTCTACATATAAATTAGATATATTAATTATTCAATAAATCTAAATAATAAAATTTGCTTATAAATCATTAGTATTTAATGCGATAGCAGAATAAATATTTAGTATTTATTGTGGAATCCAAAGGACATCGATCTAGTAAACCTATAGACTTAAACAGCTACATCCAGCATAAGAACCTTGCTTGTCATCACTGTGTAGCAGCTTTACTTGTCCGATATCTCAACATCATAGCTTTTCCTCTCTTGTAGTAGTTGTATATTTTGCTCGATTTTCAAATAGTCTTTCCCTTATTGTGAGAATAGTGATTGGATCTTATACAAATTTTGTTGGATAACATCATACCTCTATGGTATGTTCAACAATAAGTTTCTATGCATATGCAGGTAATTATGTAGCTTGTGCAATTCAAAAGCACACATGCAATATTTGGAAGGGAGTTGCTCACTTCACCATAACTATTTCTCCCAAATTCTATTATGTCTGAAAATATCTCTGATCCAAAAGTTAACTTCCGACCATAGCATATGCAATGTTTGTTCAATAGACAACAAATGTCCAAACAAGTGGGGTTCAGATAATAACATCCGGACAACAAATTCTATTTAATGTGTGTGTGAGTGTGTGTGAGAGAGAGATTGTGTATTATACTTGATGCTTTTTACGTTTTGTGACCTCCTTCTCTTTTTGATGATGTCAATGAGAGATAAGCTATGCAAGAACAAAGAACATCGTCTATTTTGCAAATACTAAAGGGGAGATTCATATATTCAGAGGGAGATATGATCAGAGATTACAAATATGACGTATGTTTTGTCATCACCAAAAAAGGGGGAGTATGTGAGTACAATGTCATCTCTTAGATGTTTTGAATGATGTCAAAACTATGTAATATGTAATATTTGTACAATAGACTTTATCTTTATATGTTTAGGTTGCATTTTCATCTTAGGACATTTAGGGAACAAGTCAAAAGCATTTGGGCAAGTTAAAAATGTCAAAAGTATCATTTTTTATTGTGAAAAATCATATTTGGAGTCAACTCATTCATGTTAGGAGTTGACTCCCACTAAAAATATTTTTAAATAAAACTCTCTACTGTAAAAGAGTCGATACATATGGCCTTAGATTCGATACAAAGCACGAAGGAGTCGAATTCCACATGTTATGTCTCGACTCCTACTGAAGCATATTTTCCAAAAATTTCTATGTCCACTTGTTAAATCTGAGTAACGGTAACTAGAGGATCAAATTGGAAGTATTGGGTTACTTGATCAAGCTCTAATAAAAGAGAGATGAGAATATAATATCAACATCAAACTTAAGGTTTGGAGGGTTAAATTGCTTCTTTTTTTCTCTTGTAAACTACATTTGCAAAGGTTAATTTTCATTATCTCAATTTCATTAGAATTAGGGGCAGACATACACATAACGAGGCCGTTTGGGGAAATGCCTAAACAAATTCTTGTGTGTGTGTGTCTCTCTCTCATTTACATTTACTTGCAAATTATGAAATAATTGATTGTGCAATTGATACATAGAGATAATTTCTTTGTCTAATACTTTAAACTGTTTTGTTGAGTTGATTGCAATCTATGTAATTGTAATTGGTTTCTCATATCAACAAAATTAAAGAAAAATCTGATTTGAATTGATTGCACACATAGTGTTCGACAAATTGCTTAAATCAGTTTTTGTTTGATATTGCATTGGAAATCAATTACTATTGTGCGATATTATTCAAACGTGATTGTTGAAAATATATTGATTATTTTTCTCAGCTTACGTATTCGCTCTATCAGTTTAACGCATATCCAATGTTTTTTATAGCTGTTCGAGATAGAGGATTGTTGATTCAGAATTGTTTCCGCATGCCATAGTTAAAAAAATTTAAAACAAATTTTTAAATAAGAAACTTTCATTTTCGATCTATTCACCCCCTCTAGATCGTAGCCTATTGTCTAACAAATTTCATGTAGATAACAAAGAGATAGGATGAAAGGGGGTCACCTTAATGTAAACCTCTAGTCGAAACTAAAGTTGGTAGTCGTATCCCATTCCAAAGAATAAACATAGAAGAGTTAGTCACACAGTACATGATCAATTTTTTAGTAACGGAAGGAAACGTGTTTCACTTCAAACAAAATTCTAAGAAATCCCAATTAACATGATCATAGACCTTTTTAAGATCTATTTTGAACACCATGTCGGTTTTTTTTCATTCTAGATTTATGTATAGAATGAATTTATTCTTGGTGGATAATGACATTATCAGTTGTCTCTTTACCAAACAAAAAATTACTATGGAAGGGTCCAACTATACGATTTAGATAAGGACATAATCTATTAACCATAATCTTCATAATTAGCTTGTAAATAGTGTTGCACAAGCTAATGGGTATGAATTCCTTAAAATTTTAGGGGAGGTCCACCTTAGGAATTAATGTGATAAGAGTCTCATAAAGAGGGGAGTGAAAGCTACCTGTCACAAAAGCATCTGATATAAGTTGGACAATATCATCTCCAACTATATGCCAAAACTATTTAAAGAAAATACCCTAGAATCCACCAGGGTTATACGCCTTGAAATGGTGCATTTGATTCAACGCATAGTATCATAATTGCACCAAACACCATTGGGAAGATGAAGGTCACAAACTTTATTTCTCTTCCGCATAATTATCTCTTAGTATGAAAAAATTTGGTGTTACTATCTTCTAATTTAATCCAATTATCTATAGTCTTTTAATACCAGTGAATCTCCTGTTGCGCCAAGATCTCATCATAATCCCATTGAAGCTCCTATTTGGAAATGAATCAATCTTATCGAATCTATTCTCTCCAAAGAGTGTTGGATACTCCTAAGTTTCTTCTCAATGTTGTGCTAGTTTGCTTATATTGTAAAAAAATTCTTTATTAAAAAGGATAAAATCGTGTTGCACATTTTGGAGACAAGTTACAATGCCATCTGGGGATTTCTCCCAAGAAGTCTGAACTATATTAGAGTATTTCAGGTGCGTGATCCAAGATGCCTCAAACCTAAAAGGACTCGACCCGTAGTCTTAGAGGGGAAGACCACACCTAAGAAGAATGAGGTTATGGTCAGAATGAAATTTACACAACACCTCAACATATGTATCACAAAAATCTATGCAGCAATAAACGTCAACCATGGCCCTATCCATCTCGCGATAGACCATTTGGTTACTATTATAAGGCCTATTCCAAGTGAATTTCCCACGAATCATGTCTACTTCAAATAAACTAAATCTATCAATGACATTCAATAAAGCAACTTCCATATAGTGATTAAAATGACCTCTTTTTGTTCACTCGGATGAATGATGTTGCTAAAGTCTCTAATCAGCATCCAAGGACCATTAAAGTGTTCCTTTGGTCAATGAGATAAACCCATAGGTCAAGACGATAATTGTACATGAGACTAGCATAAATTCTAATTATATACTAATAGGAAGTTCCCAATGATAGCTTAATAGTAATTGTATTCATAAAGACATCACACACACGATAGTTATTATTATCATTCTTCTTTAACACCCATATGCCCTCAGATTGACCACGCACATCCATTTAGTAAAACTCACATATCCAACTCTATCCCATAAATATTTGGTCATGTGAAAACCAATATGTATTTCCATAATGATTAAAAATGTTGGAGAATGTTTTCTAATCAATTCCATATTGTGTCTTTTAGCCTTATTATTAGAGGCTTTCCAGATATTATAGAAGAGCACAATGACTTTTTTGAAGCATAACATAACTTGTCAAGTTGATGGAAGTGACAAAGCAAGTCCCAGATACGAGACAACTCATATAACTGACTCTCATTCAATGGGAGTTTCGTGAACAACTTCCTCTTATTGAGTAACACCCTCATCTATAGCGCATTAGTTATTCCATCTGTCTAACTTGCTCTCGATTCAAATTGTGGAATGTTGTATCGTGTGATGGTTTCTAAACCCAAATTTTTTTATGCGAACGATAGAGGTGTATATAAAAGTATTAGGAACACCTTTTTATGCTGGACATAAATTAAATGTTGGTCCAGTTTTGTGCGAAGGCCCATTAAGAGAAAAAATATGGTTACAAAATGGCAGGCTTGACCTTGGCGCGTGGGTCCCTTCTGTGTGTTGGCTGACACGCACCTGAGGTGGCTCCATTATTATCAAGTCACAGTTTCTTATAAACCTCATCCACTTGATTCGGTCCAATAGTTTTGTTGTAAGCGCTTCTTCCTTTTAAAGAAACATCAATTCTCATTGATTTTAGAACGCCTCAGATCTCTAGGTGCATTATTGGTTAAAGGTTTTCCTTGACTATAACTGACTCTTTTGCTGCATTTTTTCCTCAACGCCACTAGCCAATCACAATAAGCTGCATTTTTTCCTCAACGCCACTAGCCAATCACAATAAGCTGCATTTTTTCCTGATGCAATTCTGTTAGTCTTTACTCATGTACAATATAGTTTTTCGGCGGGCCTCTTGGTTGTGCCACCGTAGGAACGACTAGTTACGTCAGATTATCAGGTGTTTTCTTACAATCACGGATGTGATGTCCATAATAACCACAATTGGAGCAAATAATGTGAATACCATCATATTACACGTTGTACCAGTGGCCTTTAGAATTGACCATTCAGACAACCGATAAGGTTAGATCAATCTCCACACAAATTCTCGCAAACATCCCCCTCTCTATATTCCAAGTGTGAGTATCTACCTTAAAATGAGTATCCACAACAAATGCCAAACCAAGAATGACACTTTCATCATAATACAATAAGTTATGCCTTAGAATCGAATCCAAACCAGAGTCTTCTCCACTTATGCGAGTGGAGATGCAAACTCTAAAATCCATCAAGCCACAACCAAATAATGGTCAAACAAAACAACATCCACGAGCCCGCTCACATAATTTTTTCCTTATCTACGAGCACTTCACACTTGACCATAAAGAAACCATTATCAATGTCCATAATCTCAAAACCTATGGTAAGTTACCACATCTTCTCTAACCTATCCTTCATCAAATAATATCCACGTTCTTCTCAAAGAGTTTAATGACTAGCACCTCCTTCTAAGGAATGTACAGTTCCTGAAGAAGCTTCTCATCCCTCTTACCTTTTGGTAGCAATTATTTTCCTCCTTTTAAGAGGGACTTTCATAAGTCCCTTTAGGTCTACTTTCTTTTTCACAATAGTGACCCATTGACCTTTAATAAGAATATCCTATAACGACGACTTAGATACACCTATATTTAATGGCTTGACTAGGGATGGAAAAAGATCCGTACTCGTGGATATCCGCGGGTAAAACCCGTCACGAGTACGGGTATGATGACTTAATGAGTATTCACAGATAAAAAAACGAATATTTAATTACTTATTTATTTACGGGTACAAATATAAATTTGATGGTATCCGTATCCGTTAATAATTAGCAAAAGTACTTAAATATTAATTTGTTTGATAAAAATTTATTATTACTATTACTATTATTATAATAATTGTTATTATTTTGTTAAATATATTATTATTATTATTATTATTATTATTATTATTATAAAAGAAGAAATAAAATGAATGTCATTTATTTTTGTTATTATTTATTATGTGTTAATTTGAAAATAATTTTTTTGATTTTAAAAGAGATGAAAAAATAATTATTTAAATATATATATTTTAAATATATTTAAATAATAGTATCCATAGATATCTGCTGATATCTCAAAATCCACATATATTCATCTAACAGATACCAGCACAAATATGAGACGGATACAAATATCATATTTATTCAACGAAATGAATAGCAAAAGACTACTATTTATATCTATGAATATCCATTATCATCTCTAAACTTAACTAACAAAAACAACATAATAACAAGCAAATAGCTTTATACCGAAAACCTTTTTTTTTTTCAAACTAATTTTCTCAATTCTCTTCCATAGGGTTTAGCTTTATAGAATATATGTAACCTTTTGAAGGATGTTAACTTGCTAAAGTTGTATATTTAGAAATATAAAATAAAAATTGTATAACTTTTTGTTAAGTTATACTATATTAACATTATTAAATACTTAATTTTTTTTTATTACAATATTATTTTTAACACACAATTAATATTTTTGGATTGCTTAAGACGTGATCAATTGATCATAGAGCAAAAGTTAACGTACCCCTCAAAAACAGAATCGATTTATAAATAAATTTTGTATTTTAAATTAATTATTATATGAATGTAAAAGTAAAATTTATTTATAAATTGATACTTGTACCTTAAGGATATAAGTGTGATTTACCATCATCTTACATCATTGACTCGAACAAGATCCACAAGCTGCAAGAATAACAACACCATTCCCCATTTCATCCTACGCCACGTGTACAATATCCCACGTGTCTTTTCATCACTGGTTTAACCCTCTCTCTTTTCGGTCACTCCCACGTAAACAGTTTCTCACTCCCCAAAAAAACTCAATTTTCATTTCTCATCGATAAACCCATCACAACACACCGGAGAAGAAAGAAACCAAATCACACTCTCTTTTCCTTATTTTCTTTCCCACAACATTTTTATATCTATTTCATTTCAAATTCTCATCAACCAAACACAAACTCTCTCCACAATGGCGCGGCTCCTCGCGAAGCTGACGCTAATCACAATCGCTCTAACATTCCTCTTCTCTCCGTCGCATTCCGCCGTATTCAGCATAGATCTCGGCTCCGAATCGCTCAAGGTAACCGTGGTAAACCTAAAACCAGGCCAGACTCCGATCTCCGTCGCGATCAACGAGATGTCGAAACGGAAATCACCGGTGCTAGTTTCGTTCCACGACGGAGATCGTCTCCTCGGCGAGGAAGCAGCGGGTCTAGTCGCGCGGTATCCGCAAAAAGTTTATTCTCAAATGAGAGACCTAATCGGGAAACCCTATGCTTCTGCTAAGAAGTTTCTAGATTCGTTGTATTTACCTTTCGAGGCGAAGGAGGATTCTACAAGAGGCACTGTGAATTTCGTGGTGGATAAAAACGGTACGTATTCGCCCGAGGAATTGGTTGCTATGGTTTTGAGTCATGCCGCAAATTTGGCGGAGTTTCATTCGAAGATTCCGATTAAAGACGCGGTGATTGCTGTTCCGCCTTATTTCGGACAAGCGGAACGGAAGGGATTGCTTCAGGCGGCCGAGTTAGCTGGGATTAATGTTCTTTCGTTGATTAACGAGCATTCTGGTGCGGCGTTGCAGTATGGGATTGATAAGGATTTCTCGAACGAGTCGAGGCATGTTGTTTTCTATGATATGGGTTCTAGCAGTACCTATGCTGCACTTGTGTATTTCTCATCTTATAAAAGTAAAGAGTATGGGAAGACAGTGTCGGTGAATCAGTTTCAGGTATGATATTTTTGGGAAAATGTCTTCTAATTGGGATTCATGATCATAAATATGAGTATGAAATTTATTAGTTGGAGATTTTCTAGTCTTTAGTAGTACTGTACTTGTCTAGCCTTCAGCAATCAATTAAGCATTACTTTGAATTCATGGTGTTAAGGAAGGAATCAGTGCATAATATATAGGGACTGGGATTGATGAATATAACCAAAGAACAGAAGAATGATTTTATAATTAAATAATATAGGATTGCTTTCAAGTTAAACGGGAGCTAAATTTGTACTGCATTCCTCTTAATTTGTTCACTTTATTATCTATGTAGGTCAAGGATGTCCGTTGGAACCCTGAGCTGGGTGGTCAGCACATGGAATTGCGACTGGTAGAGTATTTTGCTAATGAATTCAATGCACAAGTTGGTGGTGGAATAGATGTGAGAAAATTTCCTAAGGCTATGGCTAAGTTAAAGAAACAGGTTAAACGGACAAAAGAAATTCTCAGCGCAAACACCGGAGCTCCCATTTCTGTTGAGTCTCTTCACGGTGATGTGGACTTCAGGTTGGTAGTCAGTTCAAAGCTTCTCAATTGCTATTACCGATTTTGATGAATTTGTGTGTGTTAATTTCTGACATTCCTAACTGAAGTTAGTGGTTTGTACTTCATAGATCATAGCGTTAGACCTAGTCACATAGTGTTCTAAGTTATGCTGTTTCACTAGTTAACTTATTCTTTTGAAAAATCGCAAGAAAATCTACCAAACAATCCAAGATTTTCTCACATCATTATGAAATAATATGGAAAATGTTTAATCTAAAATAGGTCTTTTGGAGGATTAAATTCAGTAGAGCATATTTCTATTTGGTGTGTAGCACTGCATGTCTATTTTTGGCACATGCTGCTCCATGTAGTGCTGAATGTGAAGTAAATATTCTATTCTGTGGGTTTTGTCAAGGTGGTATATCTTTCCATTTCCATGTTAGGAGTGGACTTCATTATGAAGGGTTATATCGCTAGCCTGTTTTCCTTTGCACTCCGTAAACTATCTTAGTATTTTATTTTAATTGTAGTGTCACATGTGAATGGTCCACAATTGTCTAATATGAAAGTGAAAATTCTGACACATCATGCCACATTCAATTGATCACTCAACAAGAGTCATTAGAAACTAGATGTGTCCATTATGAAGTGATAAAGGGCCAAAACCAGAGGAAGGGAATTTATTTATAGGGACAAAAATCATATTTAAGTCATCAAGAAAATATCTCATGATATTGTTTGGCACTAGTGTATGTTTGAGAATAGTTAGAATATTTTGGATTACTTTTCCATAGGTTCCATTCACTAGAGTTAATCCCATTCGAGGCATATTCGGACACTAAATATGGTCTCCTTTCCTAGCCGGGATTCAAACTTTAGTTTACCACATCATAGGAGTCTACCCCCTTTCGCCAGACCTAACCTCCAATGGTTAGGAGTCTGGTTAGGTATTAGCATAAACTGAAGTTGATGTTTTTTTATTATGTTTCACATCAATATACACAAGGTAACATAATTTGAAGTTTCCGTTCTCTGTTTTCTTCTTCTTTGCCTAAAGTCCTACTATTCTGACAGTCATAGGAATCTAGCCCCTCCCGTTAGACCTAACCCCCAATGGTTAGGAGTCTGGTCCAGTATTATCATAAATAGAAGTTAATGTTTTCTTATCTTGTTTCACATCAATATACACAAGGTAACATAATTTAAAATTTCTGTTCTCTGTTTTCTTCTTCCTTGCCTAAAGTCCTATGTTTCTGACAGTTCCTAAACTGAATTATTTTGTCAAGATTCCCTTTCGTATAACTTTCCCATAATAGCCCGTAACTGTCAAGGCATGATGTAATTATACCTCGTATAGCACATAAGGATCCTTTATTCTAGGCTTCTATTCTTACAGGAGCTCAATAACCCGTGAGAAGTTTGAAGAGCTCTGTGAAGATATTTGGGAAAAATCTCTTGTACCGTTGAAAGAGTTGCTTGAGCATTCAGGCTTGTCAGCAGATCAAATATATGCAGTGGAGTTAATTGGAGGTGCTACCAGAGTGCCAAAGTTACAGGTTTGAATAATCTTTTTTCTTTTACTGTCATGCTTTCTGCACTGTGTATTAGGGATTAGATCTGCTGGTATTTGTACTAGATAGAGCTCCATGATCTATGTTATTGTCTCACCAGTCAACATTTGGTTTCTATGTATGAACTATCATCTCTTATATACAACATTAAGCTAGTTTTTTGACACGTTAGTAAACATGACCCTGTTATATGTGAAGATGTGCTTGCTACTTCCTTTTTTTGTTAACTTGAATGATGAGAAGTTTGAAGGCATCTGACACCTCACATGTTAATTTTTTATTTATTGTAGAGATGTTAGGATAATCCAACTGTTAGATTGTTATTTACATAGGTAGTTAGAGAGAGGGGAATAGTATGATATAAAAAACATAAAGAATGACGGGGTATAATATTCAATTGAGTAAGAATATTGGGTCTTTGGTCACTGGTCAGGGAGAAGATCTTCCTGGTACTTACTACACTACAACCTTTTTTTTCTGTAACTTGGGGAGTTCTTCCCCATTCTATTTCAATTCCAGCTTTTCCTATCAAGAGATAGACAACATGAATGTGATTCAGTTCTGCATAAGTTCTTTTATATATATCAAATACTTGATTAAGTTTGAAAAATAAAAATTCATGACGTATGTAAACTTATATTTGATCTTTTTATTGTCAAGTAAAACTGCAGTACTCAGTCGTTTACTATGTTTGTACTTAAGTTTACAAATGAAGTATTTACTTGGCAGTCCGCCACTGATGTCTAGAAGTTTACTTGATGTTATTTTGTTAACTACTATTTTACAGGCTAAGCTTCAAGAGTTCCTTGGTAGAAAAGAACTTGATAGGCATCTTGATGCTGATGAAGCAATAGTTCTTGGTGCTGCTCTGCATGCTGCAAATATAAGTGATGGTATCAAATTAAACCGAAAACTAGGTATGGTTGATGGTTCCTTATACGAGTTTGTGATTGAATTGAGTGGTGCCAATCTTCCGAAAAGTGAAAGTTCTAGGCAGTTACTTGTACCTAAAATGAAGAAACTTCCGAGTAAGGTAAACCAATTGATGTTTCTTGCAATGCATATAATAAGAAAAGTGAAATGACCAATTATATTCTCTAACTTTACTAATCAATTTTCATATGGTTTACTTAACAGATGTTCAGATCCATTATTCATGACAAAGATTTTGAAGTTTCTCTAGCTTATGAAAGTGAACATCTTTTGCCACCTGGTGTTACCTCTCCCTTAATTGCTCAATACCAGATATCTGGTTTAGCAGATGCAAGTGAGAAGTAAGGATAAAAAACTTCCTAAACTTTTATGGATATACTTGCTGATTTAAACCCCTCAAGGAGTTGTTTTGATATCAATTATTTAAAATCTCTAATTCCTTCCTAATTTTTGTTGTCTTTTCTGTTCTTGTAGATATTCGTCTCGGAATCTGTCGTCCCCCATTAAGGCAAATGTACATTTCTCTCTTAGTAGAAGCGGAGTTCTTTCTCTGGATCGGGCAGACGCTGTTGTTGAAATAACAGAGTGGGTGGAAGTTCCCCGGAAGAACTTGACCATAGAGAATTCAACTATTTCGTCAAATGTATCAGATGAATCTAGTGCTAGTAACAATTCCGAGGAAAGCAGTGAAAGTGTGCAAAGTGATAGTGGTATTAATAAGACATCTAACACGAGTGCTGAAGAGCAAGCTGCTGCTGAACCTGCTACAGAGAAAAAGCTGAAAAAGCGGACCTTTAGGGTACCATTAAAGGTGAAAGCCAACCCTGGTGGTTGTTGAGATGAAAGAGATTGAAACATTGAAACAAGATCTTCTAATATACTTCTCGTCTCGGCTCTTTTTTTTTACCTGTGGCAGATTGTTGAGAAGATTACAGGAGCAGGGATGTCTCTATCGAAAGATTTTCTTGCTGAAGCTAAAACAAAATTACAAGCACTAGACAAAAAGGACGCAGAAAGGAAAAGGACAGCCGAGTCTAAAAATAATTTAGAAGGATATATATACACTACTAAGGAAAAGGTTGGTAAAAAAACAATATGCTTGGTTTTCTTTTTAATCTTTAAGGCCTTCATAATTTCTACAATGTAAAGCACCTTTAAGATTTTTTAATCGTCTTTCAGAGAACCTCTTAAATAGTAGCCTTTAATTAGTTGACTTCAAGTTTATACCGAAGGATTTGAACTCACAGTCTTGTTTTTTTATTGTTTTTTTTTTCTTGTGAAAAATGTCATCAAAATACAATTAAGAAATGAAAGAATGAGGATGCAGTTTTTAAAACGAAACATACCCCAATCTCTAGGAAAATTAACTTAAGAAGGCCCCATCAATCTTCATGTTTAATCTTATGCTTGCATTCACCTTAATCTACTTATGTCTGTAGATACTTATTCTGATTGCGGTATAGTTTTCTACAGGGAGAGGGTAGTCTTTGGGAATGATCCTCCCAATCTTATTTTATCTGTTTCCATTTTACAAATATCATGTCTATTATTTTTTTAGAATGTTATAAAGTTATCTAACTTCTTTTTTGTAATTTGATAGTGTAGCTATTAATGTTTCCATCTGTTCTTATTGCTTTCCTTTTATCAGATTGAAACTCTTGAGGAGTTTGAAAAAGTCTCTACGAGTGAGGAACGCAAGTCCTTTGTTGAGAAGCTTGATGAGGTTATAACTCTTTTCATTGGCAAACCACCAAGAAATGTCATTGATAAGAATTTTGACTTAGGCTTCTTGCATTCTGTCAGGTGCAAGATTGGTTATATACAGATGGTGAAGATGCCAACGCCACAGAGTTTGAAGAGCGTCTAGATCAGTTGAAAGCTGTTGGAGATCCAATTTTCTTCAGGTCTGTTGTATTCTCTATTTTAATATACCTTTATAGTATGGTAAAGTTTTTCTAAAAAGTGTAACATCTATTTTAGGTTAAAAGAGCTTACAGCTCGACCAGCAGCAGTTGAGCATGCCCGCAAATACCTTATTGAGCTGAAACAGGTAACATCGAGAAATTTCTGATTAGTATAATTTGGCTCATTTCATTTATCATGTGTCATTTTGAAACTGAACTTTTGTTTCTGGATAGTCCAAAAACCGATATTTGTAATTGAGGACATCTAAGTAAACTCAGTTTGGTGGTAGTGATTGTTGTTAAACTCGGGTTTCTAAATAAATCGGCTGATTCCAAGTAAACTTGACTTGTAAGATTCTAAAGAGCCAAGCCTTGTTCCACTAAGTGGGGTCTGCTGCTTGGATCAAATGACGACAAAATGTTCTATCATATGTTATGTTTCTATCCAATCCAACTCATCATTCTCTAAATTTTCCTTTATAGTTTTTCTAAATCCTCCTCCATCTCCGGTGATTTGACTACCTTCCATATGATATATTCTCCTTACTACAAAATATATGAGCCTTCCTTCTACACGCCCAAATCACCTAATCCGAGTTTCTACCATCTTTTCCATGACCGATGCTACTGCAACTCTATCTCTAATGTCATTTCTAATCCTATCCCGTCTAGTCTTTTCATACATCCAACACAACATTGTCATCTCTACTACGTTTAGTATATTCTCGTGTTGGTTGTTTACTACCTTACACTCCATCCCGTACAACGAGAAATCAAAGAGAGATGATTTATGCTTTCAAAGAGAGAATGGAAAAAAGTTGAGAAGTTCAGTTTAATTGAGAACACCAAATTTTGATTTATGCTTCCAAAAAGAGATGATAAAAACTTACGGCCAGGGTTGTTTGAACACTTTACAAATAAGTTTTGCCACCTTCATTTGGCTATACAACAATGTTCTTTTTGTAGAAAAGGTTTTTTTTTCCAATGTTAATGTTAGACAAACTGAACACTCACAACGGAAAATTAATTGGCCATACAATTAATTTGATTTATACAATTTATTTTGATTTATACAATTTTTCCCCCCCGCTTGAACTAGCTATTAAGTATTATGTGATGTAACATGAAACGTTTATATGTAGATCTTTTTCTGACATGTGCAGATTGTAGAAGAGTGGAAATCAAAGAAGTCCTGGCTTCCAAAAGAACGAGTAGATGAGGTATTTGATTTATCTTGATTTCTATTTTCTTGAATCTATTAAACCCAACATGTTACCTCTGGAAAAATCATTTTCTATTTTGGGGTTGCTATTTTGCAAGGTGATTAATATTGCAGAAAAGTTAAAGAACTGGCTGGATGAGAAAGAAACTGAGCAAAAGAAGTAAGTTCCTGTCAGTAATTTGTTGTTCTTGTATTATGAAATATTTTTTTGCTCTTCAATACACTTCCATTGTTCATTCTTGGTGTCTATCATGTATCACATTTCTGATCCTGTTTTATAATCTAGCTTTGTAAAGCTTTCATTTTCCCAAATTGCTCGACTTGGTTTTGGTCATTGAGTAAATTCCTCTGCACGAAATAATAGTTCTAAATCTAATGTAACTAATTATTAATTTTTATTCTGTTTTTGTTTTCAACTTTTGAAGAACTTCTGGATTCAGTAAGCCTGCATTTACATCTGAAGAAGTACATTTAAAGGTGTTTGAACTACAAAACAAGGTACCATTTCTTCTACTTTTCTAGCTAAAGACTGTATGGCACATGATTTACATGTCCATGAAAGCAGTGCCATTTATGTTGAGGTTTTCAATGTATATGTACAGGTTGCCAGTATTAATAGAATCCCCAAGCCCAAGCCCAAGATTCAGAAGTCCACAAAGAATGAAAGTGAGAGCAATGAGCAGAATACTGATACTGATAATTCTGATTCCACCTCAACTGATAGTTCCTCCCAAAGTGATGAATCTGCTAACCCGTCAAAAGGTGAAAGTGAAGAATCGGTTGACGAGCAACCTGAAAAGCACGATGAGTTATGATTCAACTAAGAATGCATGTAGGTCCTTTTCTTTTTAATTATCTACCTACAAGTTTTAATTAGTTAAAGGTATAGGCTGGTAAGGGTAGAATGCTAGGTGAAAACGAGGGAGTGCCAGTTTTCTGAGAGCGGGAGAATAGAGTTGAGGCAACATTTGCTTGTTGAATGCTGAAATTTTGAGGTTAGATGTACTACAATAGTTTTCTTTTTAAATTTATAATTGATTTCCCTTTGCTATTTAAAAGGGGTAAGTTGTAATTTAAAGGCATATGAAATGTGATATAGGAAGAAAAAGAAGCTCAATCTAATAGATTTGCTCGAGAGTGAGCTCACATAATTAATTCTAAACGCATTTTATTTTTTATGTTAATGCTACTTTGATGCATGTTTGTTTATAGAAACCAGTTTAGTTTGTGGTATACGATTGTGAAAATTAGTATATATAATTCATAATTTACAAGTCATTATATATTTTCTTACTCTGCTGAAGGCAAAATAATAGTACATGTTTTTTTTCGAAGGGTCATGCTAATTAAGTAATTTTTACATTTAATTCTTAACCTGTATTACTTACTTAGGACAGAAGTTAGCATGATTTATATGAAATTAGGGATGAAAATATAATAGATGGTTGGGCATGATTTATATTCTAGTTTAAATTAGAATAAGGCCAGACTTGTAAATCAAATAAATTGAGTATATCAAGTAATTTTCGATTAATATGCTAGACTTTATCTGAAGTTTTTAGATTTGTCAACAATAGATATAAATAATGTAGTAAGTTTGCTTCTCTTATTTTATATTATTTTATATGGTTTACAAAATTAGTTTTTTATATTTTAAATTTAAGTAGTTTTGATCATTCTTTCCTATTTTTGTATTTTAAATTGATGACATGCTTAATTTTAAATGATGTGTTATTTGTAAACAAATCATCAAATATAAATTTTTGTGAAATTTTAAATATAAAATTATTACAAGTCATCAATTAATTTGTGGACTTTTTAATGATAAACAATATAAGTAATATGTCACAAAAAATAATATATAATCATTTTTTAGTGTAAAAATCTGATAATGAGATCAAAATTGGTTGGATCATTGTCGAAAGGAAAGGAGTTTAAGATTCGATACAAGTCTTGTAGACTCAGTCATGCAAAAGGAATGATGCTTTCAACAAATTCAAAGAAAAAGTTGACAAGACTCAGGACAAGAAGTCTTGATCGAACTCTCTTAAGCATCAGGTCGATGATAGAGCTTCTGAATCTTCAAAAAGAGGAGGCGGAAACTATCAAAATAATAAAGAAGATAAAAAAGGTATTGTGCTACAACTTTGAAAAATGAGGTCACTTACTAAGCATTGTTTGTATAAGAAAGACAAGGGATCGACAAAAGGCAAGGACGAAGGAGCGAACCTCACAAGCCAAGATTAAGACGATTCTGAAGGTATGATGGTTATGGCAGCAGTTGCAGATAACCACGTTGAGTATAAGATCTGGTTTCTCGACTTAGTCTGCTCCAATCACATGACTGGTCAAAAGGTGAACTAATAATAGTTGCAAGCAGAAAGTACTGACAACATAGTTTTTCAAATGAGTAATGGAGGGAAATCTATGATCAAAGTTGTACTCTATGTACCTTGAATGAAGTGCAACCTCTTAAGTGTTAGACAATTGGTCGAAAAAGGTTTCTCAGTTGTCATGAAAGATGAAACTTTAAAATTGTTCAACACTCAGAATAATTTGGTCTTAAAATCTGCACTATTGAAGAAAATAATGTTTAAGACCATGATCAGTTCGACTGAAGTACAATGTCTAAAAACGGTTGTCGACCACAAGGATAGTTGGTTGTGGCATTTGAGATTTGGACATTTGAACTTTCGATCACTCAATCAGATGCTTACTCAAGATATGGTAACCAGTATCCCAAGTCTTGAGATGCCTGACAAACTATGTGAAGGTTGTTTAGTCGGGGAGCAATCTTAAAATTCTTTCATTTCGACAATGTCAATGAGATCATCCTGCATACTCGAATTGGTACATTTAGATGTATGTGGCCTATTCGAAGAACATACCATTGGTGGAAACATATATTTTGTTTCATTTGTCGATGAGTTTAGTTGAAAGCTCTAGATCTTTGTTATCAAGAGAAAGGACAAAGTATTTGAAATCTTTAAGAGATTCAAGATACTTGTCGAAAAGCAGAGTGAAAAGAAGATCAAAGTTCTGCGAATAGATGAAGCTGACGAATACACATCCAAGATGTTTGAAGATTTCTGTGTAGAACATGGTGTCGATCATGAGGTAACTTCTCCTTATACGCCTAAATATAATGGAATTGCATAAAGAAGAAACATAACCATATTGAGTATTACGAGATGCATGCTGAAGTAGAAGAATTTGCCAAAATCCTTATGAGGAGAAGCTGTTTCGACTACAGTTTATATCCTAAACAGGTGCCCTATCGAGAAATTTAAGATTAAGGTTCCTGAAAAATCGTGGAGTGGAAAACGACCATCAGTAAGTCATTTGAAGGTGTTTGCCTCTATCTGTTACAATCATGCTCCAGATGCGAGAAGAAGAAAGCTTGATGAAAAGAGTGAACCTATGATTCCGGTAGGATATCATAAAGACCGATGCATACAAACTTTTTAATCCAATTAATGAGAAGATTGTGTTAAGTCGAGATATTGTGATTGATGAAAATTCTGCTTGGGATTAGAGTTCTAGTGATGCAATTAACAAGCCATTGATGAACTATGGTTTCGATGAAGTAACTGATGAAGTTGAAGTAGAAGAAAATGTCAATATTCTAGTCCAAGTCAAAGAAGTTACTGACATTCTACCGACTTCACAAAATGACTTCTAACGTTTCCATTTTTTGTGGCTCTTTCGAACACAATCAACTCTTGATTTGTAAAGAAATATTGTAGATGTTGTCAAGGAGAATCATATGTAAAAAGAACCACTAAAAATATCGAAATTTGAAGAAGTTATGAATTTTTGAAATCTGACTCGAGAATTGGTAAAATTAGGTCGAATTGCTTGTGAAAATTTGCTATGTAATGATGCAGATGGGAGGTGGGATCTTAGGTCAAAAATTAGGGTATGACACCGTGGTCCGTCATCAAGAGAGATTACAGATACCCAACTCCAAGTCAGCCTAGAGAAGCCACCCCTACTGGGAACATATGATTGTACAATCGATCCTGATGAACACATAGAGAATATTTACGCTCTCCTCGACTACCGAGGAGTGAGGGGCGCCATCAACTGCAGACTGTTCCCGACTACCCTAAGGAAAAGCGCAATGTCTTGGTACAAAAGCCTTCTAGACGAATCTATTACCTCCTGGAAGCAGCTAGCAAAGATGTTCTCAAGGTATTTCACGGCCTCTCGCTGACATCCCAAATCAGAAGCATCACTAGAAGCAATCACTCAAGGAAGATATGAGTCTCTTCAGGCTTACATCGAGCTTTTCAACACGAAGCCGTACAAGTTCCCGCAACGACTTTGCCAAAGTCGTTGGCTCAAGACTCCAACTACACTCGACTCCCACCTACTTAAGACCCAAGCATACATTCAGTACGAAGAGAAGGAGGCAACTAATAATGCAAGGGACTCGCGGCACAGGGAGAGTGTCAAGTCCTCGAAGAACAAAGAGCCCTCGACATCCCGTCGGGGGGGGGGGGGAGGGAGAGAAGAAGCGGGAAGACAAATCCAAAGACTCCAAAGATTACAAGGGGCCAACTGGTCATTTTCACGACTACACCCCCCTAATGCCTCTAGAGAGCGTATTCTGACAGAATACGCTAATTCGGAATTCAAGCAAGTCGGGGTACGCTTTCCTCGCCAAACACCGTCCAAGCCCAGGACCGATAAGAGTAAATACTATAGATTCCACAAAAGTCACGGACATATGACAAAAGATTGCTCCACCTTAAAGATTCCATTAAAATCCTGATCTGTGACGGGCATCTCAAGCAGTATAAAAAAGACGTTCCCCGAGAAGATGCTCCAGTGTCAAAGAAGGTAGATAAAGAGAACCCATCCCATGACAAATCTCTAATGCCCGTCGCCATGAGCATCACGAGGCCAAATGATTTCTACTTCCCTGACGTGGATGACGTCCTACTGTACTTCTCGTCGCACAGCCCTTGGGAGTCCTTCCCAGCAACAATGGTCATCTCTGGGGGGGGGGGGTGTTAAAAAATGCACGGTGGGTTCAGTAAATAGAAGGTTTGAAAAGCTAATAGAAGCCAACTTCGACATGGTTGCCACCCTCAACAAAGTCCTAGGAAGCTCCCGTCCCTTTGCATTCTATCGAGAAAAACTCCCCGACGGGGCTCCCAACTCCAACATCCTCTACTGGTACAGACACGTATGGCCAACTTTGATGTTCGGGGGATCCCGTTCGACCAAGGTAGCTCGCTGGAGATAATGTACACCCAACTATTCAACACCCTACAACTCAACAAGACCCATCTGACCCCGTATGTAGGCTCAGATCTCCAGGGGTTTAACAGATTTGTTACCAAGCCCTGGGGATACGTGGGGTTGATCGTCACCTTTGGGACAGGTGTAACAACCAAGGCTATCAAGACACAATTTTTGGTAGTGGACTGCCCATCACTTTACCAATGCATCTTTGGGAGACCCATTTTGGATGAACTGATTGTGGTGCCCTCCACCGTAAATCTAAAAATGAAGTATTACACTGCTGAAGGCTTGGTCACCACCCTTCACGGGGATCTCCATGCCACAAGAAGGTGTTTCGAAGCAACAACCAAGAGCTTGAGCTCCATTAACTCACAACCTCGGATAACTCGTAGACCCGCACTTCCCACTAGCTCTAAAGAGTCCAAATCACTGCCTGGGATCGACACCATTAACCTGGATAGCCGCTTCTCGAAGGAGGATCTCTCGGAGCAAAAGAGCAAAAGAGCAAAAGAGAAAGGGGAAGGAGCCTATGCTCGACGAAGAAAGCTCATCCTTAGGAGCG